CGCCAGACCACGAACCGGACTATCTGGAGCCCTAGAGGTATATTCTTCCCCCGTATCTACTCCATGTCCGCTAGACCGCTCACCGGACTGCCGGGAGCCCCGGAGGTATATTCTTCCCCCTGTATCTTCCCCATGTCCGGCAGACCACTCACCGGACTGCCGAGAGCCCCAGAGGTATATTCTTCCCCCGTATCTTTCCCATGTTCGCCAGACCGCTCACCGAACTGCTGGGAGCCCCGGAGGCATATTCTTCCCATGTATCTTCCCCATGTCCAGCAAACATGGGAAAGAAATACGAGGCTATAAGCAATCATACATATAAGAGATCAAAGCAGACTCAAATAACTTTCATGAATAAAAACATAGATCTGACCATAAACTCAAAATTCATCGGATCTCAACAAACACATCGCAAAAAGAGTTACATCATATGGTTCTCCAAGAGACCATTATATTGAGAATCAAACGAGAGAGGAAGCATCTATTTACTAACTACGGACCCATAAGTCTACAATGAACTACTCACACATATTCGGAGAGGTATCAATGGACATGATGAATCCCTCTGTGATGGTGTCTATATTGGATCTGGTGGTTCTGGATTTGCGGCGGCTAAAATTGATTTTCGTCGACTCTCCTAGAGTTTTTGGAATATTGGGGTATTTATAGAGCAAAGAGGCGGTGCCGGAGGCCACCAAGGTGGCGCTCGCTGGGGATCACGATGTTGCCGCCGGCCATCGCTGGCGCTCAGTCAATGTCGTGCTGTTACGATGTGATTTGATCGATGATCCATACATGGGTGGTGCGGATTTGATCCATACATATATGGAGCACGGACGCACGAGAGCCAGCCCACTAAGCATAAGACGGCCGGGTACAACATATACGAATAGCAGCCGTGCTGTATTCTACTCTGCTCTGCTCCGTCCACAACTCCACATCGGTGGATCAGGCTTTCATTGCTCTTGCTCCGTCCAAGTCCAATGATTATGACTATGATCCACTGACGGGGATGCGAAAGCGGCCAAGGCTGACCTTGGCGCCGGTGGCCTTCACGTCCGCCTGCACCTGCTCCCAAAACTCATCGTAGCTGAACCCTCTGTACATCTCCTGACCGACAATGATGGCGTCCTCGTGCGGGAACGCCAAGTAGCAGAGTGACATCATGTCCACCTCCGTCCCAGCCGGCGCCACCACCCGGTGCTCCGGGCCCCGGACCGCGTCACCGCTCATCGCCTGCAGCATGTCCCCCACGTTCACCACCAGCGCCCCCTCACCGCCTCCATGAACTCCGCCAAGGCACCGTCTGCTTCACCATCAGCAGCGTCAAGAGAAGAATGACAACGGTCGCCGTCAGCTGAGCTCCTTGACAGGAAGCGCCGGCGTGCCACAGAAGTAGCCAGGAAGCCGAGACTTCTTGGCCGTATCCAGCTCAAGGAGCCCGTGCGCAAGCCCAAACAGGCGGGCTGTGAGGTCGCGGGGGGACGCCGTGGTTGACCAGCCAGAACACGCCTGGGTCATGACGGCACGCCACCACCAGGTGCTCCGTCAGGCTGGACTCCTCCCCCTCGAGGTCTACAGTGGGCAGCTCTAGCTCGCACCTGCTCCATGGATTGATGGAGATGGATCTGCTGCTGGATCAAGAGGCGGTCCAGCTGATGGATCTAGACGGAGCAGAGCAGGGAAGGGGACAACCTTTCCATTTTTGTTATAGTGATCACATAGATTGTGGTTAGCACGTGGATCCTTTAGTTCGTTCATCATCTTGCAAACTGGTGTTTGGCTTTTTGGCTGTCAATTGCGTGCTGCTGCTGCTGCCTCCTTGAACGCGAATGCAGCTCGAATTATATGTGCTTGAGCTCTGATTTTCTGTATTACCTCTGCCTTCGCCTCCTCATGTTTCTTAAACGCAGCAGCTCGTTCATTTCGATCCAGATCGGTAGAGCCATCCAGCAACACCTTTTTAATTTTGGGGAGCTTGTGAAACTGACGCAGGACATGCCCGCTTAAAAGGTTGCAGTTATTGACAAGCAGTATCTCCAGGTTTGGCAGTGCTCCTCCTGGAAATGATACCGACATGAGATTTTCTAACCGGTCAAGTTGGAGCAGCTCAAGCTTTAGAAATGCATCACTTTGAAATTCCATTTCCTCCACCATAATTGATTTAGCCAAGAGGCGTAGCATGATCAACTTGGGTAGCTTCGAGATGATCTGTACAGCATCACTGTCCAGGAGTGTTGTGCGAAGGCATAGCTTTTGGAGATTATGAAGGGTCTTGATCCACCTTGGGAGCGTGCCAAGACTGCCATATAGTTTCAATGTTTCAAGATGGTGTGGAGGTGGGGAAACAGTATCTAATCTTCCGAGTGAATCTCCAGAGTGAACCATCAATGACCGCAGATCCTGGAGTCGCTCAAGAGTGGAGCAGAGATGCTTGCTGTTGTGTTTAGTAACCCCAATCAAACCTAACCTCTGTAACTGTGTTAGCTTCTGTAGCTCCTTCATAGCACTTCGACTGTTGCCTGTAACATCAATGGTCCCCAGTGTAGTAATAAACTTCAGTTTCCCAATCATCTTCGGGACACGCACACCATGTGGTTTGTCCCTCTGAAACGGATGTAGCAAACACATGCGGAAAGCAGATGAAGCAGCACACTGGAGAGGCTGGGGACAACAACTGGTCACTTCACAGCTAAAATCAAGCTGAGAATTGCCTTCCATTGATGTCGCCATTGTACCACCACGGAGATGGCACAGCCCAGTGAGATGAATGATTGTAGATGGCAGCTTGGCGATGTAAGTGCCCCGGATATCTAATACCTCAAGGCCTTGCAACTTCCCCAAAGAGTTAGGTAGATGGGAAATGCCGGTGTTCCTGAGACCCAGATACTTAAGGTGCCGAAAATCCCCAATTTGCTCAAGGTCATGATGCTCCACCAGACCTGCAGTATCTTCCAAATCAAGCACCCTTAGCAACTTCATGCTTGGTGAAATAAAAAAGGAACTCCACTCCCCAAAAACTGTTAGTGACCGGGCACAAGAGTGGTCTATTTTCTTGAACTCATCATCATGTCTTATCCACCCGCTTTTAACCACTAGGTGTCTGGGTTGGGAGATTGTAGAGTTTCTATTCACAGTGTGCTCATCAAGGATGTGGATAGACACACCCGATTTCACTTCCGAGCCACCGAGTTGTTGAAACAAATCATCAACCTGGCAGACATTTACTCTTCCGCCAGTTGTTTCTGCTCGTTTCAATGGATGAAGAATACCCCTCATAACCAGGCCATCAAAGATCTTCTCAAGTTCCTCAGCATTATCTTCTCTTATATTCTTGCTGTAGATTTCTGCCATCCACGCACTTGCCAATCTTCTGCGCGTTATGCTGTAGCCTCTCAGAAAAATGCTAATATATTGTAGCAAATATTTCATATGGGATGGTAAATCAACATAGCTCAATTTTGCTGCTGCTGTAGCAACCCGGTCAGGTTTATTTCTTAACTCTGAGTCATAACGTTCTAGCACGCTGTTCCATGCTTCTGATGTCCGAGTTTTGGTGCCTAGAAGTCCACTTATGATAGTGATTGCACAAAGGTCCCCATCACATTTTTTTATGATGTGATCAGCAAGATCAACCATTGGTTTATGCAACTCAATTAGCCCATCACGCTTAAATACCTGTTGGAGCACAGCCACAAAAAATATTAGTTTTGATGATATTGCGCCGAGTACAGAAAACAAATATATAGGTTTCGTTCTTACTATGCACAAAGACTCAAAGAACTACCAGGCTAGTAATAAAATGCTGAGTTTGCCCTGCATTCTGACAACATCATTTAGTAATTTAATTTGGATAATCAGTCCAATAGTGTGGCCATGACAATAAGCTACTATTTCGCATCATTCATACTATAGCTCTATGGCTCAGAGCGTAGCTCAGCCATGGCTACACTCCAGATTGTGAGAATTTTTGTATTTACTTTGTGGATGAGAAAATACACCTGGGTTTCAGCATGCAAGTATGTACACAAGCAACCAAATTAACATGTGTGTTTTGCAGGGTTTTAATAAAAAAAGACTTACAACGCCTGCCAAATCGTTAACCAGATGCACCAGATGCAGGGTTTTAATAAAAAAAGACTTACAACGCCTGCCAAATCGTTAACCAGATGCACCTTCTCTGTATTTAAATTTGTTTTGTTTGCCTAGTTTATCCTTAGTCATGCACCTACTGACATATACTGCCTTCAAAATGATAGTTGTCTGCATAAGTATAATCATTCAATTGAAGCCGTGCTTCAATTCCTAAGCATGAAGTGTATGAAATATTGAAATTCACAGAGAAACATTTTTGGCTATAAAACCATTTCTGGCCATGACAACTCATTTTGGCTTTCAAATCATAAAATTTATTTCTGGACAAAGAAATCATTTTTGGGCAATAAAATTCACAAAAAAAATGGTCACAATAATTATGAGTGGAAAAGAGAGAACACGTGACTTATGAATGTATCGTCTCATTTGGTATGCCTCCAGGGTTTCAATCATTCGTTCATATATTCTTCATAGTGCTTATTTCTAGCATGATAGTACAGAATGATATACATCATCCA